CCGGGCCACCTCGAATTTTAACGTTATAAACCCTCAAGCGTACCACTGAAGCACCAGAGATTGTGATCGTAGGACTCTGTCACGTATAAATTCCTAAATAGCATGGAAGCACAACTGAAAGTGACCTCATTCAGACGGGTGATAAAGTTTTTCAATATACTAGAATATTTGCGCTTCTGAAAATATGATTTTTCTGCTTATAGTCCCAATTCAGAATGTAATCATGTTTTAATTTTTTTATTTTGAAATATGTATACCTCTGTAGTCCTAATTTTCTCTTTAAAAATACTTTACATTTTATGGCGCAAGAACGCTGTAAAATCAAATTTTTATTAAATTATTAGTTTTGAAAAAGTTCGAATTTTCCTTTGTTCAAAATTTTCAAATCATCAAGAAAGCTATCATACTTTCAGCGATGTCACTAGTTCTATGGATGATTCTGAGTAACTGATTGTTATATCATTTCATATCGAAATATGTTTATTCAAAAACACCATACTAGTGAAAAGAAGTGTTTTTCAAACAGGAAATAGAAACAGGCTCATCTGGAGGAAATAAACGTTTAATGATATGCGAAAACACTGTAACTACAGCAACAAACATTTCTTGATTGGATGTTACAGACTTTATAAAAGAAGTATAAAAATAGCAATTTACACAAATTCAATATATGTTAAGATCTGTAATTCAAGACAATCAGGCGTAAAACTACTTACAATTATAATTATTTGTCACAGAGAATTATAAATTATAATAAAGATGGCTGGAAAGATTTTTGTGATTGGATATTCGCGCAAAGGTAATGAGAGTTACCTGTGCTACCCGTCCTTAATTTTGAACTAAGAGATTAGAGTGAAGACATCTAGTCAACAGTACTCACCACTAACCCTAATCGATATGTGGGATTTAACTGTCACTGTTATAACACAACCAGATCCCCAAAGTGCAAATCGCGATTTATTTTTTGTGTCTTCAGTTAGACACACTAAACAAGCTGAAATTGGATTATTTTTAAAATTGAGAGTTCATCTGTAATGTATGAATCTTCATTGATTAAAAGTTAATTTTCGAAGAATCTTCAGATAAAACTTTTGAAATTGCTTATAGAGATGGGGTGGCTATCGTTTGCATTGTATATACGTATTAAAGAGTCTGGTGGATAATGTAAAAGATTTGTTCACGTAGATGATTTCTTCTGATCTTCTACAGTGATCTTTAAACTCGGTCTAGAAGATGGCTCTATTTTTTTGTTGTTTGATTGTTTCAAAATTTTCGTCAGAAGCTACTCAAGGGCTATCTGTGTATAGTCATCCCTAATTTTAAATTACTATATTAGAGAGAAGACAGCTAGCAAAGAGCACTGACCACCAAATCTTGTCTAATCAACCTGTATAATGTATGTGGTGTTTGTTTTATTTTACCGAATGGCTACATAATGTCCACGCGGGAATCGAACTCCGAACTTTAGCATTGAAGTCTGTAATCATACCATTAACTCTCCGGGGAACTAGTGCGATGTGACATTCATCCTTATAGATACAATTTTTGTGATAGACTATGAGAACAAAAAATGGTGGAACTTTTAAACGTCATATTACGGTCCTGACCTCCTTTTCAGGTATTTTGATATTTCAAGACAGTTCTGCAAGCGAACAGTGAGGTGTATTTTCTAACTATGATTTCACCTGAAATTTGATAATGATATATTGTGGGCCTACTTCTACCCTCTGTCAAATTCTTTGTTCTTTTATCTTGACGTTTTTACTCTGAGAACAAAACCACAATAGTTACTTCTAACACGACAGAACACTTGGTAATGTAGAGTCCAATGGTTAGACGAAAAATAAAAATCTCGTTTATTTTTCTCAATTCTAATTTTAAGACAAAAAATAGTTACTCAATTGTTTGTTTGTTTGTAATTAAGCACAAAGCTACACAATGCGCTCTCTGTGCTGTGCTCACCACTGATATTGAAACCCGGCTTTTAACGATATAAGCATTCAGATTTACTGCGGATCCTGTGGCTACTTTTGTCTAGAGAGATGAATCAGTTGTAAAAATATATTTTTAGGTGTAACAGAGAATATATTAAACTTGATGTTTATGAGTGAATTTTTATGTATGCATACAAACTTACATATCAAATTATATATATATATATATTCAGATCGTTATTCATAACAAATCAAAGTTTTATAAAGCTATATTACATTGTGTATCATTACACTATCTTGTTTCTGTCATTTGAAAGTGAGAGAAACTGTTGAATAGAAACAATGCCTTTACTGATGTGATATTTAAGAAGAAGTAGGCCTGGCGTGTTCTAATGATTATCGTACTGGACTGTGAATCAAAAGATTCATAGTTCGTAAATTTCCACTCCGTATTTTGAGGTGGTGAGCGTGTTATAAGAGTAACGGTCAAATTCCACTATTCAGTTAGAGTAGCCTTTCCTCTACCCTATTAGTTCAAAATGAGGGATGGCTAGCGCATATATCTGGTGTGTCTTTGCACAAATATTTATTGAAAAGAAACAATATATGACAAAATGTGTTTTTACAAAATAAATACGAAAAAACGAGTAACACTGTATCGTGAAATGCTAAATAGTAATGCTAAATCTATATATATGTTTTTAATAAAAATCATTAGAAACGAGTGTTTTTTGGCTTGATAAAAAGTGTTGTATGTAACCAAAGAAGCTTAATTGATTTCTCTCTATTCCGCATTCCTCTACCTTGTTTGATGAGTGTTGTAACGTCGCCTTGAAAGGCACAGCGGAACCGCAAGGCATACGCAGTTCACAGATAAGCATTGATTTGGCTGTTGGTGTGAGAAGGAACAGTAAACACAGGCGTTACTTATCTCGGATTTCCACGTGTGTTCTCGTTCCTTCTTGATGAATTCGTGTTTTCATTCCTATGTTAGGTGGGTTTTGTCCAAGGTAAAGATAATTGTTGCCAGTGAACATTAATCAATTGTCCTTTCTAATATATTTGGATATTTAGTGCATAGGCGTAAGAGAAACGTTCCAGAGCCTTGAAGTGTAACAAGGTGGATGAAAAATCGAATCAAAGTGTAATTGAAACTATCGGATTTTAAGCAGTGCACTTTTCTTATGCACTTTTAGTACCTGGATACAACGAACATACACTATGTATATATGTTATAGATAATTAGTGAAGAAGCCATAAGGCGAGAAATTAAGCATGAAACAAGGTTTTCATCTGGAGAATAAAAAGCAATGCAACTATAGCTGTTTATATAACCTTAGTTATCTTTATATTTTTCGGACTGTCAAAAACTTAATCGCTAGGCAAGGTAGTGCTTAGTATGTAGGGATGGGCCAGAAAAAAAATGGCCGACGCATATTGTGTATTGCTCATCATAGTTTCAAATCTCTCTATAACAATCTAAGAGACTTTTATAAACATCTAACTTAGGTTTTCAAAAGCTATTAACACCTGCAGTTTAGCCAAAAAATTAATAATTAATTAATTAGTTTTTAAAATTGAATTAATGTAAAAGCGCTATTGTATTAAGATGGTTGTAAGATTTATACTGTGACGTCATAGACATAACAAATCCTCGTTAGCTAGTGTTAGTGATAAAGAAGACAGCTGATTATTTAACAGTAAAAAACAGGTAGAATCAAATCGAACAATGTAAGTAAACTGAGTTATTAATTAAAAATAGATACTTCAAACATATTAACATATATTAACATTAAAACATGGAATTAACAACTGCAATTAAAATATTACTTAAAGAAAACACCCTATATTTTTATTCTAGAAGTATCTAAACCTCTCTGCTACATCCAAAACTTACACTTGAACCCCGGTAATATAAATGATAAGCAACTATTTAAGTCATTAAATTTTACAGTGACTTAAAACTAAATTCCACCAACATTTTTCAATTATGTTCTTTAAATCCACCGATCAATATGTGTCAAAATTAATAACTTTCGTTATGTAACAGTTTTTGTTTAGAAAGTCGAGTCTATAACTTCCAAAAACACGCCATAATGTAAAATTATCTAAAGAAAACTACATGAAATCAAGATCCTTTGGAGATTTACACAGAAAATAAGATGCTTCTTTTCTATTTTCTTCTTAATCGATTTTCTGTTTTACAATCAAGAAAATTCCAATTCCATTTCAACCCACACAACCTTATATAGCTGACTCCAAATCTAAACTGGTTTGAGCACTACTTCAAGAAAACGCACTCGTAGTTAGGCTAGTCCGTTACTTTTACCAGCGTATGCAAGGAATTAAACATATCTTTTTGTCACAACAGATTAGAAATTAATTTGTTATAAGTATTATTAGATATTAAAACTGATAAAACTAAAATAAATTCATCATAATATTAAATAGTGATAAATTATTATCGTTATAATAATTTGTAGGAAATAAACAATAATAATTAAAACTGATTATAGTTATTGTGCTAGACAAGGTAGAAAGAAAATATGATGTAAAACTAATGACAATTCTATGTCCTATCGTAAGAATTCACCTTTTAAACCTATTTGGCAGATAGATTAAACAGAGTAGAGGTTTTCTTTCCTAAAAGTTCATTTGAAGTTTACCAAAGTTTTGTAGATGAGACGATTTAATCACCGTTAAAATAAAATAAAAATAGACAGTAGGATGAAAATCAAGTTGGCTGTCAGAGAATTCTCGATAGGGTTTTCATTTCTCCGAAACCTCTAACAATTCTCTTCCACAGAGTTTTACTTGATTAATTAATTGATTATCTTTGGCCACAGAAGTGTCTTATGGTTAAAGTAGGAAGTGGGTATAATCAAAGAAGTGGCTCTTCATATAAGCCCTATGGTGGCTGTAGGAGAAGAAACTTCAGCTGAGTTTATGTATTATTGCAATAGCAGTGGCCATTTTTCAATAGAGAGTGCTAGTGCATTCTCTAACACATATATAGCGTTTGTATGTCCTCCTCCACACACACACTGTGTCTACGTTATTTAATAGAAAATTTAATAGTTTTTATTTTTAGTGTAAGGACATGGCACCATCTATGAACGTAGTTAACCTACATCAAAGGTAATAAGTGCTCAATAACAGCAATAATGGGGGAGGAGTGTTTGTGGTCACACCATCAACACGTCCTTCCTTGCAAACTATCATCCCACAAAGTTTGGTTGAGATTGACCCAGCTACCTAGAAGAAGTTAGATAACGGAGACAGACAGACACACAGATTATTTGTGCTCTATACATATATATAGATACGATTATCTGCACGTGCGGTCCAGGATTACTTAATATAAAGCAATTGTTTTCTTGAATAAACATCAAAGATTGATTGTGCCACTACGAAGATGAAACTAATAATATTTTTCTAAAATACCTTTTATCAGCACAATCTCATGACATATTCATAATTAGGAAAGGTTCGTTACTAAGAAAGAAACTGAATTTTGATTAATAAGCTGAACTCGCGCTACAATAACGACTGCTGAAAGCGTACTTAAAAACTAACGCAGCTCATTTTTCTTTTTCAGTGTTTCGTATACAAATACAATAGATATATTTTTTGAAATGCAATTATTAAAGTATACATGAAATATTTAGTTGGTATATGTACGTTTTCTTAATATTAACGAACGTTTCAAACATTTCAGAATAGTTTTGTTTGATCATATTATCCAGTTCACATTTTTTGGCAAACTCTACATGACTGTCACCTAGGGAATGTTATGTGAACTGTGCAATCCTAATAAGAAATATATACGTCACACCCTTAAATGCGACATTTCGTTTATACAAAGTTTTCCCCTTTCTCTATAAATTTGAACTTCTTATAGTTAGGCAAAATTCCTTATTTAGTCTCCTTCGAAACTAAAACAACTTTGGAACACGCTCATGCAGGTATACACATACATGTATTACGAGTGAAACTCTGTCGTAAGACAAAATATTATACGAGTTTATTAGAACTGGCAATCATCCCTCACCAGAATAGCTGAACTCAGATATAAATTCAGTATTATTTACTTGTGGCTCTAATATTCTCATTTTCTGTGTAAACTTCTCGCTGAAAGTCAAGTGAACACTTTAGGGTTTATTTTTACATCAAACACTAACTAGAATTGACTTCAACTGAAAAACGTCTATCTCTAAATCATGTAAATAAATTAAAATATTGCTGCATGTACCATATACAGGGACTTGACATAGATTAATAGACAATCCTGATATGGAAAAAAAATTATATGCATGCAATTCTGCTATGGCCTGGTCAGTAACTGGGTATAAACTCCCATAACCACGTATGGGTTAATATTTCACAGATCCTTGAGAATGTGCCCCAGTAAACCCATTTCTCTGAATTACCTAATACAGTGGGTATTTTCTTATAGCAAAGCCACACTAAGCTATCTGTTTTGTCCACAAAGGGGAATCAAACCCCTAATTTTAACATTGTAAATCCGAAGACTTACTGCTGTCCCACCGGGGGACCCATAATACAGATTCTTTGCCAGGAATCCAGCAGACCAGGAATGCTGATTTCATCCAAACAGTCTGTAAGCATGTTGTTGTCCTTCATAAGACAAAAGACTTGCACCACAGAGTATTAAACTCACTCATATTTTACCAGTGTTATGCACATGGTTCGAGAATAAACTGGTGATTTTTCTAACTTGGGCATCAAATCTATATATTAAGCGTACCTTCACTCTTTGTAGTCTAAAATTCTTGCTCCGTATTATGGAGAAAAGTTAGTGTCTCTAAATGCGTAAAAACACCTACCATTAACTATTTGCTTTAAATAATGAGGACAAATTTGTGTTATATATTTTTATACACTTACTTGATACAATGAAACTTATGTTTCTAGTAATGTTGACAAAGTAAATACTTTTAAACACAGAGTATAGTACTTCCATAACTTGGTTTCGCTCTATATATACCATATTGTCAAGTTTGCTCTAATTATTATCAAACCCATTCAATTTTCCATACAAACAAAAATTCGGCTACAAGAGTATTATAAAAACTTCAATGTTTAATTTTGTGTAAAATGGCAGATAACTCTACACACCCAAAAAAAAAAAATTAAATCGTCGCTTACCTTTGATAAAATCAACCGCCTGTTCCAACCCATAAGTGTCTTTATCACAATCGTCCAAAATATAGCCACCTAGGGTGATTCCAGGTAGAAAATCTTTCTGGTTATTCACCCAGTCAATAGTGTACAGCATACACTCTAATGCCTGAATCCCACCCTGGGGCATGATTGGTCCACAGATCTGTGTGTCTTCGCGCTCGTGCACCATCATGAGCCCACCAAGAATGATGTCCCCTTCGACTACAGCTACCCGTTTCACTGGCCACGTATAGTTTAAACCAGCATTTCTTTTGTTCCAGTTCCAGCCCAATACTGAACGAGAGGTTAAATATCTAGGCCTCCAAGAATAATTGTTTTCTAAGCTCAAGTATTGTAGAAGAGCTTCATAATCGGTAAAATTTGTGGAGAACAGATGAGTCAATTCACTCGTTCTGGGGAAGTGTCGGAAATTAACGCGTTGTTGATGATGGGAAGCGAAAGAAGCAGGATAAAGTGACATAAGCAACAAATAACCCGCTAATAAGCTTAAAGGCATTGCTGAAAAGTCTGCAGGTAACACAAGAGAAGTTTTTGGAAAACTTAAAACGTGCGTAATTTTTCTATAAACTTCAGTATCATCTTTAAGTTTGGCGTTATACTAGATGTTTTGTACTAATTTCTGTAGAAAGAAATAAAATGAAAAGATAAAAAGAAAATAGAGACTTCCATTCCGGGGAGTCTTTTAAAAACAAGGTCTGAGTATTTTTGTTAAAGTTTCAGGCTTCGTGATTAAATCAATTGAATGTTACCTTCGCGTGCTGAACTGACTGCTCTACCAGCTTTAAACTTTTGCAACCAACTGACGAACTCCTACTCAGTGTGACAGTATTATCAGTTCGTGACGACACCAGCGTGGTGCGCCCTCTCGTAACATACGAAAGGTTTATGTTAATATCGCTCGATTAAAACTAACATAGAAATAAGATTGGTAAGTTAATAATTGTTTTATTGGAAATATGCGAAGATATATACCGTTGTTTACTTTCTAGAGTACTTTGTTACTTTGAAGATCACTCTTTGTTTAGAACATGCTATATTTTGCTAATTTATTGTCAGATCGCAACTGTGACGTGTTCTTATTGTTGATAGATTTTCGGAGATCATGAGATTGTTTAATGTCTAACTTTATGAAGGCTATGCTTTTCAACAGTAATTATACGAACCAGACAAAATATAAGATAAAGCTACTTAAATAGGAAACTGCATAGATGTATTTAGAACGTATTAATGATGTTGAAAAGGTTAAAGGACTGAGAAACGTTTTAATAAAAGGGTTGAAATTTTTACAGCGTGTGCATAAAACCACTTGAAACACTGTGTGGAATATGCTATGAAACAAAGCTGAATTACATATATATATTTAAAGGTACAGGGAAAGTTTTGCTTTCTTAGTGTAACTTCTCTATCTGTTGCCCCCCAATGACACAGTGGTATGTCTGTGGACTTATAACGCTAGAAACCGGGTTTCGATACCTGTGTTGGACAGAGCACAGATAGCCCAATGTGTATCTTTGTGCTTAATTCCTAACAAACAAACAAACTTTGTCTGCTGTAATGAGATATTCTCCTTGAAACTTAACTTGTGAATTGTTTTGGTACACTAATAACTGATCTGCGTTTATTATCGTAAAGTCAATAGTGGGGGGGGGGGGCTTGTTGATGATGTTATCTATGATCTGATCTGTTTTTAGTGATTATCTCAAGCTTTGGTGGTTAGTAATGATTAATATTTTTCACACATTGGATCATGAAAGAGATCTAAGAAGGGTTTTCAGTAAATTAAATTATTAGTTTATCATGTATAAAGCTGAACATGATACATGAGTTTAAGATTGCTTTTGTACATGTTGAAAACATCTCAAAAATAGTTTATGTGGGTTTTTATTTTGTCTAGTTACAAATCAAGTTATGGTCGGGAAGTCTTAACAGTATGTAGATGATATTAATCGTTAATAACGTTTTGAAGTATAAAATTCAAGTATACTGTACATCTGTTTCTATGGGTTCTACATTCAGTGACACGATCTTAAATGTTTTGTATTAAAACGATCTTCCTTACAGAACACATCTGTTTATATGGGTTCTATATTCAGTTACACGATCTTAAATGTTTTGTATTAAAACGATCTTCCTTACAGAACACATCTGTTTCTATGGGTTCTATATTCAGTGACACGATCTTAAATGTTTTGTATTAAAACGATCTTCCTTACAGAACACATCTGTTTCTATGGGTTCTATATTCAGTGACACGATCTTAAATGTTTTGTATTAAAACGATCTTCTTTACAGAACACATCTGTTTCTATGGGTTTGATATTTAGTGGCATAACCTTAAACGTTTTATCTTCAAACGATCTTCCTTACAGAACACATCTGTTTGCATGTTTTCTATATGTTTTATATGGGTTTTTTAATGTTTTATCTTCAAACGTTCTTTCTTACGCAACACATCTGTTTCTGTGGGTTTTACATTCAGTGGCATGACCTGAAATGTTTTAATCTTAAACGATCTTCCTTGGAAAGCTCATCTATGAAGATGAAAACAACTAAAGCTCTTCTACGACTGAATAAATGTTTAGATTATTTTATTTGCTAATTGATCACATATATTGACTCAACTAAGGAAAATCACCGCTTGTGAAATATTTTATTATGTAGGAATTACGTTAAAAACATTTTACAATTGCTAGAGATGTATGATCTGTATCCTAAAATATACCAAATAAAAAAAAACATGTATTATTAGTTTTTACTTACCTTGATACAATCATTTCTTGTTTTCGAATTAAGGTGTTGATTTCGGTACATTTTCTTTGACAGACACATTATGTACCTGTAAGGAAAAATGTTCTCTCATTAATAAAGTGTTCTAGTTTCACTTTTTCGTTAATGTAAGCCATTGATCTAACTTTAGAAGAAAACTGTCTTAATGTTAATAAAGTAGTCCCGGTTTAAAACTACATTCAACTCTCCCATCCTGTTTAAGACTGCTGTTTCAGAATCGATGTGAATCAGTTGAAGCTACAATGTAGTACTATGATGGCTTGCACATTACTCTATGCAATATGCTTTTAGTTCACTATCTTTAATGATATTTTTTCTTGTTCTTAAAATGTCTTATATTTGTTTTTATGAGACACAACTGTATCTTGTAAAATAGTGGTTGAAAGTTTAATTAAATATATATGGAGACTTATAGCGCAGACTCAAAATATTACCTATAAAAAAAGACGAAACGTTATCGTAAACAAACGTCTTTCCAACCGCTTCTTATCGAAATATTGAGCACGTTAATTCAATTCATTGGATAATGATTTATTTACATACACAAACTGGATAGAAACGACAACTTAAATGAGTAGCGTAGTGATGAATGCTGTGCGATTGATATTCAACGTCATCATTTAGTTAATTAAAATACGGTGATATTCTCTATCATTTTAGATTCATTCGGTTAATAACTGTCGGGGAACAGTTGTACAAGAAATAATTTGAAGCGAAAAATAGTTACTTCAAGCAGAGTTGTTTTACCTTAGAATTATTTTCCATGCAATTGTATTTTAGTTTCTAGTTTAGATATTTGATTAAACTTTAAATAAAGCGTGTTTAAAGTTGTTCAGGTAGCGCAAGTTAACGAATAAAGTTTAAAGATTTATGTTACAACCTCTTACAGTTTTAAGTAGTAACTGATATATTTGAACCATAATTATAGAAGCTTACGAAAACTCTCATGAAATCCAAGAATTAGTCTCTGTGCTCATAATAAATTATATTAATGTTTCACTAAATAAAAAAATCACTTCAGGTCTGGACACATCATTATTAGGATAAAAATAGTTTAAACTTTAATGCCTCTGTTTAGTGATCTTACTTGATTATTTTAGTTTTATATACTGAAAAATATCTGTGTAAAATGTTTTCTTTCTTATTAAGAATACGAAATGTAATGCTACCGTTTTCTTTAAATTGTTAAAAAACGTAATTTATATATGTTTATTTTTTACAGATGAATCACGAAACTCTAAACCTAATTTACAAGCACAAAGTAGGCTTAACTAATGTTATATTTATTTGCACGGGTTCAATTTTTTACTAAAGTTCGTCCTTAGGTTTTTATAAATTAAAGTCAGAAAAATGAGTTCTTAATTTTATTGCTCCTGGAATCATTCACTGCATACGTGTCCCTCTGATGGACTTAGAATTCATTCTTATAAAATATTTCTATTAGAAAGTACTGCCTTTGGATACATTTCAGGCAATAACTTATCACTTTTAAGTTACAAAAATCTATTATTTTAACTGTAATTTGACCGAAACTAAAGATACAATCGTTAAATTATCTTTTCAATTTCTAAGCGGCAAAAGCCATTTAGAAATCAATCATTCGGTTCCGTCATGGTCTTTAAGAGTTATTGACTGTAGCATTTCTTTCTCAAATGATTACGCCCTGTATTCCAGAAATAAAGTGTGTTAAAAAAAAAGTGGTTTGCTTATATGATACAACGTTGTGTTAGCCTTCAGCGTATCATAAACAGACACTCTGTATAGTGAACAATACGCGGTGACAGGACGTGTTATTAAAGAAATCTGGAAGCTTCTCGTAGCAAGTCAGAGCTATTCAGCAGGACAGTAAAATCGAGGGCAGATATGACACTCTAAAAGGTACTGAGGTAACGAAGAATATCAATGTGTCAAAGATCTAGCACAACATTAAAGTGAGTTCCATTGTTCTGAACTAATGATTTTTTGAATGGTACTTTTCCTCTGTCAAGGGATACACTTTTAGTTGTACTCTCCTGAAACTTGGAAAAATAAGATGGGTAAGTTGACTTTCTTGGGTGTCACAAAAAGTTTTAGGTTGCATTACTGTTTAATAGAAAAGTTACTCTAAGCAATAAGAAATGGACTCTAAGACATCATTCTTATACACGTACGTGCTTTTTGGAGAATGTTTACCCAACTTGTTGAAAAATAACAAAGAAAGACAGATAAAAATAGCGAATATTTCATCACTCAAAAAGTTGTGTTTTAACATAGTTGTGTTGGCCTTAAACTAACAACTTTCTGGCATAAGCATAGAAAAGAAATGAGGTGATGCTGGTATATATTTGTATAATGAAATGACGACATCGATCTGAAAATTACGTTACATGGTAAGGATAAGTTGTTAGTTTGATTTGTGGATTTAAGTGTTCTTTACTGGCTATAGCAGTATCACGACATCATTTCAATACTAAGGAAATTAGTTTTTACATGGTAAGGATAAGTTGTTAGTTTGATTTGTGGATTTAAGTGTTATTTACTGGCTATAACAGTATCACGACATCATTTCAATGCTAAGGAAATTAGTTTTTACATGGTAAGGATAAGTTGTTTGTTTGATTTGTGGATTTAAGTGTTCTTTACTGGCTATAGCAGTATCACGACATCATTTCAATGCTAAGGAAATTAGTTTTTACATGGTAAGGATAAGTTGTTTGTTTGATTTGTGGATTTAAGTGTTCTTTACTGGCTATAACAGTATCACGACATCATTTCAATGCTAAGGAAATCAGTTTTTACATCTCTACAGTTTTATAAAAAAATTACATAATATGGTAAAGAAAATGGAACCTTAGAAGTTGTTATTAATTTACCTTTCAAATAGGTAACCGGGACATTTAGCCCACTTTTTCTTGTTGTTGTTCTTTTGTAATAAAGATATCTAAAAAAACAAAGGTTAGAAACTTTTCTCTAATTCAGCCCGTTAATCTTCATTATTATAATAAAACTTTTTGT